GCACCCTCCAGATCTTGATCCAGACTTCAGCCCGTAAGGCTTCTGGTACTCCCATACTATCCCTGAAGCAGAACGAACACGCGCATTAGCAACATTACAACACTCGACAGCAGCAGAGACAACATCGACAGCAGCAGAGACAACATCGACAGCAGCAGAGACATCGTCGACAGCAGCAGAGACATCATCGGCAGCAGCAGAAACAACAACGACAACAGCATAGACATCATCGGCAGCAGCAGAGACAACATCGGCAGCAGCAGCAGGAACAACGACACCAGTCCTCGTCGACGAAGAACCACCAACACCCGCACAGCAGTTGAAACCAACTCCACGAGAAGCCCACAGAATCGCAAACTTCGTCGCCAGCTTCTACTCCAACTCCGACACGTATCGACGATCACCCGGACATCGCGCCTCCGAAGAAACCTGGCACGCACGATTGGGACATCCAAGCAACACAGTCTTAAACAACACGATAAGAGCAGGAGTTCTCGACAAAGACTCCCTACTACTACCCGACGGCAGAGAACTTCAAAAGGCACGAGGGACTTGTCTTACCTGCCCCGAAGCTGACTTACCACATCGTGCGTTCGCTCCTCATCACAACCCGAGCGCACCGGCGTACGCACCACTCGAGAAGGTGTACAGCGACATCCTCTACAATCGCGAACCAGGACAAGTCACCTACAACTATACGATTACCTTCATCGACGCCGCCACTCGATATGTCTGGCATCTAAACCTACCAAGCCGCGACATGGAACTCGCAGCGTTCGCCGCCTGGCTACCAGTAGCAGAACGAGAGTCGGGAGCACAGCTGAAAAGCTTCCAGTCAGACGAAGGAGGAGAATACACCTCTCAGCGCTTCAAGCAGTACCTGGCGGAAAGAGGAATCAAGCAACTCCTCTCCCTTCCCTACGCCCATCAGCAGCAAGGTGTCGCAGAACGAATGAACAGGACTCTGCAGAACAGCATGCGCAAATTGTTACGTGGCATGCGGCTACCCAACCACCAGTGGCCTGCAGCAATGGACCACGCTGTCATGCTGCACAACTTGATGTCGTCGTCCTCACTCCCGAACAACGCATCACCGCATCTGCTGTAGACAGGGAAGCAGGGCAGCACAAAAATGTTACGAGTTTTTGGGTGCATGGTACAGTACCGACCCCCTGAGGCACGAGCGGGAAGATTTTCACAACGCGCACAGTGGGGACTACACCTCGGCATCGAAAAGAATTACAACGCGTGGAAAATCTTTGACGTCCACTCAAAAGAAACAGTAGCAGCACGTGATGTGATCTTCTACGAACGCCTCACCCTTCAGACGTACCTCGCCAACTTGCACGAGAATCATGACCCCACAGGTGGCTTTCGTGGTGACCGAGCATTCGCCTCAGCAGCAGACGAAGCAGACTGGGACGAGCAGAACGTCGACAACGCATCTGAAGAAGCCAGACCTCTCCCGTTCTGCTCCGTCAACGTCCCCATGGACGAAGAAAATCCTCGCGAAAGTGCCAACGCCGAAGCCTTCTATCACTTCGCCGACAATGGTTACGTAACACCTGCAACAGCCAACACCAACGAAGCAGAAAGAGTAGGACCGAATTTCATACCCGACCCAGAAGCGGAAGATGAAGCAGCTTATCCCGAGGACACAACACTCCCCCGCTACTCACAGACCGGACTGCAGATTCTCGGCCTCGTCACCGCAGTCCATGGCTCCTCTCTTCCTAAAGAGCCTGCGACAGTTCAACAGGCTCTGGGGGGGGAACACAAGGAGAAATGGCGTGAAGCCATGGACAGAGAGTTAAAAGCATTGGAGGAACGCAACACCTGGAAAGTCGTTCCAGCAAGCATAGCAAGAAACAAGACCATTCTTACCGGGAAGTGGGTCTTCCGCATCAAAACGAAAGCAGATGGCACAATCGAGAAGTTCAAGGCACGATGGGTCGTGCGAGGATTTGATCAGGAACAAGGCCGGGACTTCACCGAGACATTCGCCCCGGTTAGCCGACACACCTCTCTCCGAATCCTCCTTGCGATCGCCGCCATGAAGAAGAAGAAACTGCGACAAATCGATGTCGCTAACGCTTTCCTCTACGCACCCGTCGACGCCGAAATCTTCGTTGAGCTCCCTCACTGTACTCACGGGGAACCCAATCAGGTCTGTCAAGTACTAAAATCGCTTTACGGTATCAAACAGGCCCCACGACTGTGGCAACAGCACCTACACACCCGCCTCATCCGCATCGGATTCCGTCAACTACCTCACGATCAAGGCATGTATCGACTCACCAAAGGCGCCAACTACATCCTGCTCATTGTCTACGTCGACGATCTACTCTACATCGGCTCTACCGACGACATCGCTACCTGGTTCGAAGGGGAGCTGAAAAAGGACCTCACACTCACGGTCTCCACTACCGTCACTCAGTATCTCGGGCTCAACATTCGCGAAGAAGAAAATGCGATCTATCTCAGCGCCGAGAAGTACGCCGACACCATCGCCAAGCGGTTCGCACTCACACCTGCTACTATCCACACGCCATACCGCTACACGGCAAGAAACGGCAAAGGAAGCTCCGTCCTACTTAAGACCGCCGAAATACGCGACTACCAGCGAAAACTGGGCTGTCTGCTCTTCGCAGCCGTCACCTGCCGCCCAGACCTGTCCTACTCCGCTAGCCAACTCGCTACCTATCTCAAGAGGCCCGAAGTAGAACACCTAGCAGAACTCGACCGTGCTCTTCACTACTTCGTGAGCACCGCAACGATCGGCTTGATGTACTACAAAGACACAACTACGCCGACGAAACTAATCGGCTATGTCGATGCCGATCACGCCGGCGACTCAGATAACAAGGCGCGCTCGCACTGGCTACATCTATCGCCTAGAACCTATCGGACCTATTTCCTGGCAATCGAGCAAGCAGGAACTAATTGCGCTCTCCTCAGCTGAAGCATAATATATCGCCCTTTGCTCAGCCACCAAGGAAGGACTCTACCTTCGCGAGCTGCTGGAAGAAGCAAAGTTAGCCGAGTTACCCAACTTCACCTTGTTCTGCGACAACCAATCCGCAATTCGCATTGCCAACAAGAGCGGATTCGCGAACAGAACGAAGCATATCGCCCTGCGATACTTCTTCGTGAAAGACGAAATCGAGAAAGGGAAACTCGATCTATCCTACTGTCCCACGTCCGAGATGGCAGCCGACTACTTGACCAAGAAACTTGGAAATCAGAAGTTCGAGTACTGCATGCTGCTGACTGGACAAAGCCACGTCACCATCAGCGACACTCCAGAAGCGAAGGGGAGTGTTGGGAACAAATAAGTTAAGCGCCTCTGTCGTGTCAGTACTCAAGACACAAAACGAAGCAGCTCAAGTCGAAGCAGCGCGAGTCAACCAACGAGGTTAACGTAACCGTCGGAGGTTACGGGAAAGTCAAAGGGCAGCGACCTTTGACCTGACGCAGCGCGACAGCAAGGACAAACAACTGACTCGACATTGAGTAGTTGCCCGAGTCGCACTGTATCGAACCGCAACAGTAAAATTAGTTATAATGTCTCTTCATATTCTCTGTACTCATCTATTTATATTCTTGTATCTCTTTGCTTTTATCAACTTACTTTGCCCTCACATACTAGCGCCAGGTGGTTCAAGAGCTTTATTCAACGCTTCCGCTATTACAACATCTACTCAGACTTTAACTCTACAAAGATCCTAGGGCGTTTCAGCCCAACACCATGAACGTTTCCCTTCCTGAGGGCCCAGGCCTTCCACATTGGGACAATGGGAACGGTGTTGTGCGGTGGGGGTAGCATGAGCAGCGCTATGACAGGAGTGGAGTAATTCCTCTGCTTCAAATATTTCAGACGGTGGTATTACTTTACGGGCTGGGCTATGGCAACCAGGGCTTCAGATTCGTTTTGGGCCACCCTTAGTAATCAGGGTTCTAGGTATAGTCAACCCTGATGCCTAAGGTAAATTTTTTGTTTCCCTGACAAATGCAGGGTAAAAAAACTGTAACACTGTTTGACAAGGGTATTTTTTTCAGAGATTACTATATGAATATTTTTTAGTTTGATTAAGTTCAAGGCTTAGTGGCTCAGCTGGTGTGTTAGGGAATAGAGCCTAAAATTTGTTGAAGTGTTTTTGCAGGGGCCCGCATAGTGTTTCGTCTCGCTACGTAGCATTCGGTATCAGTATTACTGGGATTGTACACTGTACAGTCAGGGAAATATGTCCCTTACGCTGTTTTTCAAAGGGTACAAAAAAACTTACACTTTCTGGCCTAGGGTAAAAAATCCACTACCCTGTCTGTGAACGGGTAACTGAAAAAAGCGGCCGCCAGTCAGTGCAAAAAGGGTATTTTACCCTGATAACGAGAGCCCTGATGGCAACTCTTTAGTGAAACCGAATAAAAAGTACAGTTACAACTCTTGGTACTGATACACAACTCACATACAAATCTCTTGAATGAAACCGGGCAATCCATAAGGCAAGGCTGCATGCATTCAAAGTTAGACCACGTGCAACTGACCCTCTCCTGAGTGAAAGCATCTCACTACTACCTTAATTACCCGTCTAATACCGGTAGCCCCCTACAAAATAACCCCCCTCCTCTAAGGCTAATGTAATATCCACTTTAGTACAAGCGACTAATCCACAAGCTTCAGAAACTTCAACTTCAGCTGGCGATTTGACCACGAATTTGTCATGTGCGTACACCCCCTTTACCCTGGGTAGGATTACATCCCTGGTGGGTAAAGACTGAAACACTTCACAGAGCGGGTATATCCAGGGTACTGCATTTTCCTGGTAATGGTGCAAGAAAAAAAAAAGAGAAAAAACAAAAAACAAAAAAGAGAGGATGACTCATAAACGCTGCACATCTGACAACTGGAGCAGAAACGGAAGTGAAAGGGTAGTGCAGTGCAGGAATGATGGTGGTGATGATGATGATGGATAATGGAGAGCGATCAGTCAGCCACTTACAGCTCAACCTTTGTATCCAGCCGTTTCTCGAGAGAAAACAACTGAGAATCAGGGTTCCCTTGGCAGTTGTCCGTACTGAATTCCTGGTATTTATAGCAATACGCATTGGACTTGACGCTGTATACGGTATACTTTGTAGAGTACTTTCCAGCCACTGCAGCTGGGAACTGTGTGCAACCGTCCGTGTTATAGCGGAGGGTGTAGGGCCGGGAGGTATTGTCCTTGGCAGATCGATTCACAATGAATGTGTAGCTGTTGCCACCAACTGTGTCCTTTCCTCCTGAAAAAGAGCGGGAAACACAAGGGCTCAGAAAAATGTTTGCTTCCATCTTATTTGATGATATTGCTCTAGCCATTTTGCATTCTTTTGCCCACACAGCCATGGTTTTATAGAGGTTGTCAAGAGAGGGGAGCATGCATTGACCAAGCTCACATTGGGCACATTTGGTGGCGGTCTAGGGCGAGTGAGGAGAGTAGGGCGAGTGAGGAGAGAGTAGGGCGAGTGAGGAGAGAGTAGGGCGAGTGAGGAGAGAGTAGGGCGAGTGAGGAGAGATTAGGGCGAGTGAGGAGAGAGTAGGGCGGGTGAAGAGAGAGTAGGGCGAGTGAGGAGAGAGTAGGGCGAGTGAGGAGAGAGTAGGGCGAGTGAGGAGAGAGTAGGGCGAGTGAGGAGAGGAGAGAGTGGAGACTCACCCAGGACACATTCGGTGGCGGTCATCCCGTAGCCTGAAGGGCACTCGCAGTAAGGCACCTGGATTGGAATGCTGCCCTTTGATTGCACGGCCTTGCAGGTGGCTCCAGTGGGACAGCTGCCACAGGGTGAGTCTGAAAAGGGGGGTGGAGATGGGTGCAGTGCGGTACATCAGTGCAATGGTAGTGGGGGCAGTAAGGCACTTGTATCGGAGTGCTGGTCCTTGCCGGACCGGTCTTGCAGGTGGCTCCAGTGGGGCAGGCGCCACGGGGCGAGTCTGGAGAGCACAGCATGCAAGGGAGAAGGAGAATGAAGGGATGGGGGCACTCGCATTAAGGCACTTGTATTGGAGTGCTGGTCTTTGCCGGCACTGTCTTGCAGGTGGCTCCAGTGGGACAGGTGCCACAGGGCGAGTCTGGAGAGCACAGCATGCAAGGGAGAAGGAGAATGAAGGGATGGGGGCACTCGCAGTAAGGCACTTGTATTGGAGTGCTGGTCTTTGCCGCCACGGTCTTGCAGGTGGCTCCAGTGGGGCAGGCGCCACAGGGCGAGTCTGGAGAGCACAGCATGCAAGGGAGAAGGAGAATGAAGGGATGGGGGCACTCGCAGTAAGGCACTTGTATTGGAGTGCTGGTCTTTGCCGGCACGGTCTTGCAGGTGGCTCCAGTGGGGCAGGCGCCACAGGGCGAGTCTGGAGAGCACAGCATGCAAGGGAGAATGAGAATGAAGGGATGGGGGCACTCGCAGTAAGGCACTTGTATTGGAGTGCTGGTCTTTGCCGGCACTGTCTTGCAGGTGGCTCCAGTGGGACAGGTGCCACAGGGTGAGTCTGAGAGGTTGGGATGGGTGCAGTGCGGTATGTGAGTGCAAGGACCCACGAATGCACATGCAATGCAAGTGTGCATGCGTCTTGATGTGCAAGTGCACGCGTTGATGGGAGCACGGGAAAGAAAGAAGAGAAGAGAGAAAAAAGAAACTCACCCCACTGGCAGAAGCTCTCTCCGTTCTGGTCCTTCACACAGGTGCCATCCGGCTCACAGCCCAACGTGATAAAAGAAGAGTTTTGAGACATCTCAAATCACTCACCCCACTGGCAGTAGCGCTCTCCGTTCTGGTCCTTCACACAGGTGCCATCCGGCTCACATTTCAATGCGTCACACGCACGGTCAACTGCAACACAGGCGAACAGAAAGAGGCAATAAAGAAATATACGGGAATGCCACTCTTCACACAGGTGCCATCCGGCTCACAGCTCATCACAGGCAGGATGTTCTGCAGAGGCGAAAAGAAAGGGGCGAAAAACACTGATATGCCTTACATGACGGATCTTCAGCATCACGGAGGTAGGAGGGCGTTGTAACTTGTATCGAAGCAGCATCAAAAGACATCAGAGTAAAAAGGGACAGCAAAGGACGCACCAGTGTCGCACAGGACAGACAACACCGAAGCCCACTTGCTGACTGCCTTTCCGCTGCACGGGAACCTGAAGGGCGTTGCAAGTGGAAGCGTAAGAAATATCACAGTGTGTTAAGAAAACACTATGTGTTTTACCCCCTTCCCTTCTCTGCCCACTAGAACTAACAAGAATGCATCTCCTGCGTGGGTTGATGATGCCCTCAAATGACTTTCGAGGCGCCTCAACAACCATCCCCTCCCTCCGCACGCCAACTCACGGGGAAGTATCGCCAGCAGTGCGCGGGTTCTCCACACTATCCAGCACCTTGCAGCCACCCTTGCCTCCCCTCCCTTCCCTTCCCTTCTGGTCCCCGTCCCTCCCATGCCCTCCCTTCCCTTGCCTTCCCATCCCCTCCCCTCCGCACGCCAACTCGCAGGGAAGTATCGCTAGCAGTGCGCGGGTTCTCCAGGCCATGCAGCGCCGTGCCTTTGCAACCACCTGTTGAGTTGAGACGCCTCTCAAGTTACCACCCGCCACTCACATGCCACCGTTAACTTTTGAGTCGACTCAAAAGTCACCTTTGCAGCCACCTGTTGAGTTGAGACGCCTCTTAAGTTACCACCCGCCACTCACATGCCACCGTCAACACAGAACATTCCAACTCACGTGGACGTGTCGCCAGCAGTGCGCGGGTTGACCACACTGTCAAGCGCCGTGCCTTTGCAGCCGCCCTTCTTGAAGAACTTGACCTGCGCGCACTGCACGCCCTTCGCTGCGCTGCCCGCCGTGCTGCCCGCCGCGCTGCCCGAGCCCGCGGAGGAGCTCGAGCCCCCCCCTGCGGAGCTGGATGAGGGATCACTGCCCTTCCACCACACGGTCACGTTTCTCCGCATCGCCTTCTTGGTCACGCTCACGCAGCGCTTGCTGCTGAAGCTCAGCCGCGTCGCTCCCACCTCCACCTCCGTCGCGACCTGCGGGCTGCCCGTGCTGGCGCTGCCGCTGGTGGCGCTGCTGCCGCTGGTGGCGGCAGAGAGAATGCTGCGGTGTGCCGTGCGGTGAGTAAAGCTTTTCACCGTGTCGCCACCATACTCTGCCGTAATAATATGAACTGCTGCAGAGGACAAGGGAGACGCTGTGCGGAGAAGAAAATAGAGAGCAGATAAGAGGGAGCAGGAACGCGGAGAAGAAAACAGAGAGCAGATATGAGAGAGCAAAGAAGCGGAGAAGGGAGGATAGAGCTGAAAATACAGTAGAGGTGGAAAAGAGAAGGGATCAGGAAGGAAGGAGCAGCGCGAGAAAAGCATGGATCTGATAGGGAGAGGGCTGATCACAAGCCATAGAGTTTGCAGGAATGAGAGCGAAGCAGACTTACCACAGATTAGGGCAAAGGCGAGGAGAAGGAGACCGGCAGGAGAGGCGCGCATGGACCCCATGATGATAATTCAATGCAAGGATAGTCTAGCGAAACGGAAGAAGTGGACGGAGAGGGTAGAATCTCAGAAATGGAGGAATGGCAGGCTTGCTTCTGACTGTGCCTGCACTGTAAATATATGCTGCGAATTACGATCATGAGCCAAGCGCAACAGCCACTGCGCCACGGCAAATCCTAGGAACGCGATGCGTGCTTGGCTCGGCATGAGTTGCGGGAAACGAAGCAGCATCAAGGCTAGGAACGCGATATGGCTTAGCTCGAATGAATCCCCAGGACGAGAAAATGTGAATTTTAAGAACGCGATACGAGTGACGAGTTTCTGGAAAAGGACACGATGGAGTTTCATTTGCGAACCAATAGCGCAAAGCAGTGGCTTCCAGCAAGGGCGAAGACTGCTTCCAATCAGGTTCAGCATCGGTGATGACATGGCAACGCGAGAATAGTTTGGAACCAGCAGCAGCATTATTTGGCGAGCATTATGCAAGTAGACCAGTTAGTAGCTTCTCGGTTTGACCCTGCCTGTTCAAGAGAGACGCGTTCCAACGTGGTTCCATCTAGCCATGTATTCTGGCGTGAGTCGCGGGCAACGAAGTTATGAAGGGTGAAGAGGAAAGAGGGAAGTTATGAATTGAAGCTCGATAGATCAACAGACGTAGAGCAGAGGTGGACACGAACGCGATCTGCCACAGAAACAGGCAATCGAGGGAATCGTGACCGTCCAAGGCAGTCATCGTGAGAATCGTTATTCCATCTATTCGCCCACACACTCGTTTCAATATCGAACCCTCTTGGGGCATGTAACATAATCTGATGGATAACGTTAACTTTTAATTATGATGTCACACATGTCCTCCTAAGTTTGCATTCCTACGTAGAAAATGTTGGAAATCCGAATACAGTATAACGAATACTGTATACCAGTGTGCTGTTTGGTTTTAGTGTAGTCCTCTTTATAAGCTTCCAGGTCCTACAATTATTGTAGGGGCCAGAATTATTGGAGGTCAGCATTATTGGAGGGTAGAGGGTACAATTATTGGTACACCATTATTGGTGTGAATGGGTCATTCTGGAGGGGTAGCTGGATGCATATATACCCTGCTGTGTCAAATCATTGAGTACACATTGTGTCATCATTCTACTTTTCAATGATCAATGCAAGATTTCTATCTTGTTCTTTTCTACAAACACGTTTCCGCTACGCTGGCACTATGCCTTTCTAGCATGGTATCAGAGCTACTCTAGGGGGCATGCTGCCAAAACTGGTTCAGGAATTTACTGGCATACAGTTTGGATAGGTACCTGCATACAGTCGGAGTACCGCACACCTGGTCTACGCTTTCGTACACCTGGTGTTCGCTGTTGGTTACAACTGCGCGTTTACCGCACACTTGGTGGACGGTTTTGTCAAGGTCATGGCGCACTTCGATGGCGAAGTGGATCCTGGATATGCGGCTTTTGAAGAAGCCATCATGGCTCAGCATGAGCACCTGGAAAGCATGATTGCAAGGGCACCACCAACTCTCCAAGCTTCGTTAAGGGACAAGTTTGGAATGACAATCCAGCCAAGAGCAAAAATCTCTCATGAGTTCAGCAATCCGTCCACCCATGAACAATCTCATTCAAGCACTCCACGTACTAACCAAACTCGTGCAAATGTTCATGCAGGAATTGATGGTGAAGGGGAAATGGGCATACCTCAAGGAGGAGAGTCATCCCAATGGAGGGATGCATCCGTCCAAGGAGAGGAGATCGCCAATTCCGCACCTCAATCATCCATGCAAAGGGAAGCACGGAGGAGGAATGATGAGTATCGGAGTGCAGTGTTTGGTGGGATGAGAAGTGGACAGATTGGACATCAGGGTGACAGAAGTGGTGAAGTGGGCGTGGAAGGTGTGGGATTCGCCTCCTACACTATTGGTGCTCCCCCACTACGACGACTTGCGACCAACTCCCATCCCATTGGAGTTCTTCCCATGCCCAGGTCTCACCTTCATGGCGACAACATCATCCCTCCACGTGCACATCGTCCACCAATCAGCGCACACTCTGTGGACAGCATGGGGCGGATGGGATACGGAATGCAGTCAAATGGTGTCATGCGACGGGATAAAGTGGAAGTGCTGGAACGACAACTTGGTGGACAGAATGGAGATATGCGGCGCACGGTACAACTACCTCGACCGTCAACCGTGCCTAATCTCTTCGACCCCGCTCCACGCGAATACACGGAAGAAGACAAGGAACGGCTGTCACGCAAAATGGTGGGAGCAACGGTGGACAAAGCATTCACCACTACTCCGTTTGATGGCTCAAATTTCCGCGAATGGGCACTACGGTTTCGTATGAACGCCCGCGTCACGAATCTGTGGGAGTTCTTTGTGACCCTGCAGTATCCGGTTACCATGGGAGATGGTGACATTGACGACGCTATGGGGCGGCTGGAAATGCTACAGGCGGATTACTCCCAGCGTGCGGCACTCGCCTTTTGGGTCCTATTGCACAGCGTGAGCGCCACGATTCAACTACAACTAGACATGTTCCAGGAATCCTACAGCCCGGCTTATGAAGCATGGGAGTATTTGATGGACACTTACCAGGCCAAAGATTCGGTGGCGAAGGTCTCTCTCTTGAAGCAGTTGGACAACCTGAAAATGGGGAACACCGAAAGGGTGGAGGAGTATGTGAACCGCGCAACGGCGATTCGGGACAAGTTGGCGTTGGCGGGAAAGATGGTGGATGAGGACACATTCACCTTAAATCTGCTCACCGGACTACCGGCACATTGGGAGGAGATGAGGCACTCGGCAATGCTGCACAACGTGACGGACAGCTTCACTTTGCAGCGGATGATGATTCGGGAGCAGAGATATCACGATCTCATCTCAAAGGATAACCGTGACCGGCGTCCACCTCGCATGGTTGGACAAGCACGTGGAGACTGCTCACCTTCTCCAACTGCAAAGGGCAATAACGGGAAGGAGGGGTCAATTGGGGAGAAAACGCATGGCAAGGATGGAGATGCAAGTCGCTCATCTCTCGTGTGTTGGTACTGCAAGGAGCCTGGCCACCCCTTCTTCAAGTGTACCAAGGCACCCCCTGGGTGGATACCACCAGGGTGGGAACCGCATACCCGCGGAAAGGCAAAACTGCACACCAGCGACAGCCGTTCGTCCTCCCCACGAAGGAGTTGCAGCCCCAAACGTGACAACAATGCATCAAAACAGCAAGGGGCAGCCGGGGAAGACAAACAACGTACTGTTACGTGCATTGCAATGATGGGATCGTCACAAGCTACCTTACCGCCAGCTAAAGCGTCATCTTGGATGCTGGATAGTGGATGCAGCCAGCACATGACTTCGGACAAGAGCTGGTTTGAAGAGTTAAGGGAGCTGGACGAACCTGTTTATGTGGAGCTTGCTAATGGGAGCGAGCTGAGCAGCAAGATGACAGGAACGATCAGAGCAACGGCACCTGATGGGACAACAGTTCGGTACACTGACGTCCTCTACGTACCTGGCTTGAAGAGTAACCTGCTCTCCTATTGTCAGCTGCTGAAAAAGGGAGCGCACATCAATACAATTGCTAATGGAGACACGGAGGTCACCATGAAAGATGGAGAGGAGTACGTGCGGATTGGATTTGCTAAGAACGTGGATGGAGTGCTCGTGGTGCAATATGCGCATGCACTTACATCCGCCCATGATCCTGGACATTCCCGTTATGACGCGTCATCGCATCAGGTTGATCGTGAGGGGGTTACCCTTTTCCGCACACCTGGTGTGCACATTGACACACATGAGAGCACGGATTTCCGCACACCTGGGATGCAGTCGAGTGGCAAGTCTGCACATGCCTCTGTCACATACCGCCTGGCGCACAAAGCCTGCATCGTGCGGAATCCGGCACATGATGTTGATACGGATGAAGTCTCACCCCTACTGTGTGGTGTGGACTTCAGGGGGAGGAGGACACAGGTCCGTAGTGGATTCGGTTCCTTGCATTCTCGACCATTGAAGGACATGAAGGCGAAGGAGCAGAATATGCAAAACAAGACTTACCTGGAGCTGATGTAGCTGATGAAGTCAGTGCACTTGAAGGAAGCGGAGGTACAGCTGATGGCGTACCTGTGACTGGTGTTTCCATTTCGGAAGGAGTGGAAAATGATGATGTGGGAAATGAGGTGGACAAGCCAAGCAAGCAGCATCTCACCTGCAATTTGCTGGTTGGTCAAGGCAATCATCAAGTCAAGGATTCTGGTGTTGTACTCATCTGTGCGGCCACCTCGAACGGTGCGGCACAACATGGCATCACCTAACTCCACACTCACTCATGTGCTTGTAGCTGTGTACGCGGATCACTACAAGCACATGGGTGGCGGGAGGTGGGGTGTGGAGTATGTCTGGTGGCATAAGTGTGGGACATGGAGTCAAGAAGCATAAGGGGAAGACCTACTCACCAAGGGTTGCCAAATAGGCAGGGGGAGCAGGAAGAATGAATGCAACCGGTCGTCATACGTCGTGCTTCAGTGGTATTGTGGTATTGGTTGCAGCAGATGAACGGTACCACCTGAGGGAAGAGTGGATAATATACATGGGAGCACTGCGTACCTGGTGTGCACAACTCTGCATACTTGGAGTGCGCTACATTCTTGGAGTGCACAACACTGCATACTTGGAGTGGACATTTCTGCATACGTGGAGTGCAGAGTTTGGGATACTTGGAGTGCGTCGGCATGCACAACTCTTTAGCTGATGGAGTTCGGCAACTCCGACTGCTACCGTGTGCCGGCTGGAGTGTATGGGGAGCATCACATGACAACATAGGTGAAGTTTGAGCAAACTTGGCATGATTGCCAAAGCATGGGGAGAAACTGTCGCGCGAAGTGTGCGCCCACCAATGCAGTTCCGCGCCAGCCGCACACCCTGTGTTATCTGCTACCGATTCGCGTCATCCGCAACTGCAGTCGTCGGAGACGCGCATCCACTGCGGTTTCGCGTCGTCGCACAGGAGGCGTGCGAAAAAGTCAGCAGCATTGACAATCGCGTGTAGTCAAGTCTACGGTTTCGGAAATTCGGCGTGCGCTCAGGGCATTCTGCCATGACGATACGCGCATTCCGCCATGGTTTTGAGGAGATTACGCCATGGAGCTGCTACGATTTCCTCAGCATCAACCACTACTCTCTAGATCTCGATCTAGAATGAGGAGATTGGAAGGAGGGAATGGAAAACGTGAAGGCATGTGGTTTGAGTTTGGAAGGCCCAAAGGTTGGGAGGGGAAAGGTGCTACAGTGACAAGCAGCTTGGCCAACACCAAACCCTAACTTGGTTTGGGCGCACCCCTACCTAGTGGTGGTATACCACCTCGACCACCCCATCCTCCAAGGAAATCGGATTCACTAAAACCTACAGCAAGGGGGAGATGTTGGAAATCCGAATACAGTATAACGAATACTGTATACCAGTGTGCTGTTTGGTTTTAGTGTAGTCCTCTTTATAAGCTTCCAGGTCCTACAATTATTGTAGGGGCCAGAATTATTGGAGGTCAGCATTATTGGAGGGTAGAGGGTACAATTATTGGTACACCATTATTGGTGTGAATGGGTCATTCTGGAGGGGTAGCTGGATGCATATATACCCTGCTGTGTCAAATCATTGAGTACACATTGTGTCATCATTCTACTTTTCAATGATCAATGCAAGATTTCTATCTTGTTCTTTTCTACAAACACGTTTCCGCTACGCTGGCACTATGCCTTTCTAGCAGAAAAATATCAGTGTAAATGACAACAATTCACCGTATCCGATTTCTACGGGAATGGTGCTGTAAACTTTGAAGTCACAATACTTACCGCAGTGTGGGAACAATTCGCCTTTCTGACCAGCATAACTTCTATGAGTGAGATGTTATCGGAGACGCCTATGAGTGGACAGACGAGCCAGGGCGGCTCGACCAAGTTTAGTGGTTCGGTGCTCTAGTCGTTAGGACGAACGTCAGCGCCGCGTTCTTTGGGTGTGCTGCGCTCGCTATAATGCGGCCCAAGTAACGTATAAACTATATCAGGCAGTATGACTGCTCAAGGTTGAGCGTTGGTTTCCCCTAAACTTGCCGTTTTTCATACCACCCCTACCGACCAACCGTCAAATTTCCTCCCCCTTGGATTCATTTCTGTGCCCGCGAAATGTTTTCGAGTCGCCAGCCGGAAACATGAATCACATTGCTAAACTCAAATTCGCATGCTCTCAAAAGGACGAGCCGCGACTAGACCGCCAGCCATCTAATGCAATTTGTCGCCAGCCGTTTGCGAAATTCCGTTCTACGACTTGCGCGCGGTGAAGGCAGTTTTGAGACCAATTTTCATCCCCTCCTTCCCATCACGCGTCGCGAATTTCCAACCCCTCGATGTTCAAATTCTGAGAATCTCGTTGCTTTCCCCATCAATCTCATCTCGCCTCTCACGGAAGCAGCAAATTTCAACTTAGGGCTTCTCTCAAGCCTACTCTCTGCATTCGCTCTCAGTCTCCACAAGGCAACTATCGCGTTTCTCCCGCTCCCTACTGCAGTTTTCCACCCCGGCAGCTGATCCCCATCGTCGTTGTGTTCCTTGCTCCGACGTTTCGGCGTCAATTACATTCATCAGTCGAAAATGACGGTGTCAAACGTCTACCAGATCTCTCTCGTGCTCCTACTCGCCTTTCTCTCCATATCCACCGCGTTCGCGGTTGAAGACCTTGCCCCGCATTTTGAGAACAAACCCCGGAAGGGACTCTTCAGAGTGAAAATCCGTCTCGGCGACAAGCCATCCCACCCCATCCGCGGATTGACGGAAAAGAACTCCGCCAACGCGGCTCCGTCAACCTCCACCCAATCGCAGCTCTCCTCGCTGCTCGCGTCGACCACCTCAGCCGTCCGACGGATTCTCCATGGCACGATGATTGGCCGCAATTCCCCCGCATCCGGCGCCGCATCTGCCGACCGCCACCACAACTCGCGCCTCCTGCAGGACCTCGCGAACACACGCATTGCGACGACTCGCGCCAGTGGCGGACACCCCCCCGGTGTGGGGCACCACGGCGCGGGGAAGGGTCATCACGCCGCGACCGCCGCGGGGCACCACGCCGCGGGGGTGGGGCATCACGGCGCAGGCAAGGGCGGACACGCGGTCGGCGCGAACGTGGGAACCATGATCGGGCACCACCCCTTCGGGAAGGGCCACCACCTGAAGCCCGGTCAGCTGTGCCTCGGGAACCAATCGGTGTGCGACCTCTGGAAGGGGACTGCCGAGAACTTCGACACCTGCTGCGGGTATGATTTTTTTCCTATATAGTCCTTCACAACATCTGATAAGTGTGCGGCACACTGGACCCTTTCCCCTCCAAATATTTTCTGTGAACACATCTTTTCTGTCTTGAATCCGACACTTGTTTCTATTTCATCCGCATCACCTCATTACCCCTCTCAACCGTTTGTTCCGTCCCCCCTCACGTTCCTCCAGGCGCGCCTGCCGCAACGTGCAGTTCGACAACTTCCACTGCGGCTCGTGCATGACGCCGTGCAGCGGCTCGTTGACGTGCTGCTCGGGCAACTGCACCGACACGCTCAACGACCCGAACAACTGCGGCGGGTGCAACCAAGTGTGCCTCGGCGGCGCCAAGTGTGTCCAGGGCGTGTGCGAGAGTTACGGCGGTGCCGTACCGTCCGGCAATAGAAGATAGCGCGGCGGGAGGATTGCGGTGAATTTTGAGTCAATTCAAAAGTCATCTCGGGACAGGAGGCCATGGCTGGCGTCAGAGCAGCAACGAGGGAGGCGGCGACTTGTGCGAGCTCCGCACAATAAATATTCTTTTAGCTAGAAAGTGCTCGTGAATGCGTGCTAGATTAGTGCAAGGTTTAGTACCTGATGGGCCATCAATGTAGTTGAGAAAAAGCTTGTCAAATAATGGTTCAACTTAGGTCATCAAAGCGCCACATTGAACATAACAGCTTGCTAGTGTCTCAAAGTGTCTTTTGATGATCCCTGCCTAAAAAACAGCCTAAACATTCTCTTGGCCATGGAATGGATCCACGAGTATCAGTGAGGTGCTCGTTCTGTCTTTCAATGGGTCCATTTCCACTCCTGTTCAATTGCTTGTTTCAAGATGCCCATCATCAACGCTAAGGATCAAACACTTCATCATAACTGAATAAAGAATAAGCAAATGCTGAATGAATAATGTTACGGGTGCAATGAATCGAAGTAGCGAGAATTGCACTAAGGTGTCAAAACGAGTACAAAGATGTGAGCGAAGGCATGAGCGAACATTTATATGCGAAACATGCAAACGGTAACGCGGTGTGTGCGAGCTAGCTAGTTGTTATGAGTTGTGAAAGGAAAGAGTGCGCATAACTCAATAATGTGGAAGTGATTACAACGTCTGAGAACACAACGAGGCCTAGGACTAATATAGCAAAGCTAGCTAGGCCGAGGTCGCGGGATCGCGGGATGGTTGGGTGCAGGTTCGGGGTTGGAAAACCCGAAAGCGACGCGGTAGTGGCTCGGAAGGCGAGGTCGGCGGACCGAGTATGGTTTTCCGAAAGTCGGAGTTGTACGCATGCAGTGTGACCCAGTAAGGAATCCGAAAAATTCCTTACACTAGTGCTACGCTGGCAGCGAGGCTCGGGCTAGTCCCGAAGTGTAGGCCGACACGGCCGGGCCAGCAGTGCGAGGTTTGGCAAAACAGTGCGCGCGAAGTTGGCGAAGTCCCGTTAGCTGTAAAGGGGCGAACAACGGCTGTTGCTGTACGCGATGTAGTCGGGCTCCGTAAGAAATGCCGAGAAAATTCCTTGCACTACCCCCCCCCCCCCCCCCCCTCAAGAAGCCCCCTCCGCTACGCGAGTGCGTGTATATCGCGGAATCCCCGGCTCCTCAGGTACACTTGCAGGGCAGGGTGGTTTCCAATGTTGGCCAGGGGCACCCAGTGTGAAAAATCGTAGGTAGTCTTAGGTGCCATAGCTAGGAGAGCCCTAGCTAGGCAAGGAACAGTCTAAACAAAGAAGGAGGAGGTTCACTAGAAAGCAGCAGGATACATATAGGAAACCCTAAGGGGTTATACTCGCTATAGAGTACCCCACTGCAGGCTAGAGAACAATAACATTCTGACACACCCCCATAGCCAAAGTGGGGTGTAATCAGCACAATGAGCAGGCATAGAGCAAGAGTTCACAGTAGTGAGCCAAGCTAGAGCTAATCACAGCGGGCAAGTGAGGAGGAGGAGGAGCTGTGGAGGGAGAGAAGATGGGAGGCAACGACTGAAGCTGCAGAGGCACGGGCACAGGAGTGGCTGACTCAGAGGCTACTGAAGCAAGGGCGACGGACTACTAGAGTAACTGGCTCGGCGGCTAAAGACGAGCGGCAGGAGCAACGGACCCACTGGCGACTGGTGCAGCAGGCTCACTGGCTACCGAAGCAAGGGCGACAGACTATAGGCGCTGTAGGCGACACGATAGATACCTCCACACAACCTCCTCCAACAGTCCCACACTCTCGACACACGCCCACTGCTCAAACCCTAGCTCCACTCCCACGCAACCCCCTTAAACCCGAAATCCCAGTCTCCCACTCATCCACCCCCCTCAGCGACAGCTGCAGCAGTGGGAGACGAAGGAGGAGGAGGAGAAGGGTACGACGCGCACAACCGACACCCCCACAACCACCACCCCCACACTCCTCACCCCCAAACCCTAAAAAGGGTGGGATAGGGGCAGGAGCGCGGGGGACAGAGAGGGGGGGGAAGGCGCGCGCCTCTAGGGCGCCAGAACGGACGGGTGGGGCGAGGGAAGGGGCGTGGCGCGCGCTGCTCCCCTGGGCGCCGCGACGGACGGGCGGAGGGGACGCGCGCGCGGCTCCCCAGGGCGCCGCGACGGCCTGGCGGGGCGCGCGCGGCCTCCCGAAGGCGCCGCGACGAGCAGACGGGGCGCGCGCGGCCTCCCCAGGACGTCGCGACGGGGCAGCGTGGGCCGCGCGCGGCTCCCCAGGGAGCCGCGACGGGGCAGCGTGGGCCGCGCGCGGCTCCCCACGGCGCCGCGACGGGGCAGCGAGGGGTCGCGCGCGGCTCCTCAGGGCGTCGCGGCGGGGCAGCGGGGGCGGCGCGGCTCCCCAGGGCGCCGCGACGGGGTAGCGGGGAGTGGCGCGCCTGGAAGGAACAGGGCCGCGCGCCTCGGGGCGCGCGCCAGAGAGAAAATCGCAGGTCGCACGCCACGGGGCGTGCGACTGATCGAGTAGCAGCGGAAGCAGTGGTAGGGCCCACAGGCCAGGAGCATATATGCTTTGATACCATGTGAAAAATCGTAGGTAGTCTTAGGTGCCATAGCTAGGAGAGCCTTAGCTAGGCAAGGAACAGTTTAAGCAAAGAAGGAGGAGGTTCACTAGAAAGCAGCAGGATACATATAGGAAACCCTAAGGGGTTATACTCGCTATAGAGTACCCCACTGCAGGCTAGAGAACAATAACATTCTGACACCCAGCTATCTTCAGTTGGCGTGCGGTTCTTCCAGCGAACGAGGAATTCAATCCTCCTGATTCCCGTGGGGTGGCGAATCCGATGGCTCAGGATATTTTCGGGCTCGATGATCGGCTCCGATGCAGGGCGAGTCATGGAATGCGGGCGGTGACTAGGCAGTTGGCTGATGGTTGGGATGTATGGGCGAAGTAGGCTGACGTGGAACGATAGGCTGATGTACCAGTCGGTCGGTAACAGTAGGTGCGCGGTTACTGGCGTGATCATGTGGCTGATTTGGAATGGGCCACCGTAGCGCGGTCGAAGTTTCGGTACTTCGGGCAGTCGCAGATTTTGCGTGTCGAGCAGTACGTAATCCCCTAACTGGTATGTGACTGGGTGGCGGTGGCGGTCAGCGATGCGCTTAGCGATGATGTTTGCTTTTTTAATTGTTTCTGCTGCTCTGGTGCGGGCAGCTTGCAGAATTTCGGTGAATTGCTGTGCACGTGGTGTTGGGTTGCCCGGACTCGGCGTCGTGGGCACTGTAGGATTTTGCCCGTAGTTCAGGTAGAAGGGGGACTGTTGCGTCGTCGCTGACGTGGCGTTGTTGTACGCGAACTCGATCAGCGGCAGCTGCTGCTCCCAAGTCGTGGGGTCGTCGCACGTGGCACGAATCAACTGCGCCATCGTCTGATTCGTCCGCTCTGTTTGACCGTCTGTCTCGGGGTGGTACGACGAACTGAACTGTAGCCTAGTCCCGAACTACTCCCAGAGGTTCTTCCAGAAGTTGCTGCTGAATCTCGTCTCCCTGTCGCTGATAATCACTGCTGGTATCTCGTGCAGGGGAGCAACGGCCGCGATGAACAGGCGAGCGGTCTCCTCGGTTGAGATCGACTTTTTGCACGCAGCGAAGGGTGCCATCCTCGTCAACCTGTCAACGATGACCATCACCGCGTCGTTACCCCCAAGGTTCGAAGGTAACCATGTGACGAATTCCATGGTAACCTGCTGCCAGGCGCACTCGGGCGGTAGTATCGGCTGCAATTGACCCGCCTTCCGCTTCCTCAAGCTCTTCATCACCTGACACGTGGGGCACGAGCCCACGTGCTGCTGCATGTCGGTGAACAGCTCCGGCCATTAGTAATACCGCTACAAGTTGCTGCGCGTTTTTTCTACCCCAAAATGTCCCAAGGTAATTCTGTCGTGTGCCTCCTGCAGTAGCAGCTCCCTTAGTAGTGAGTACGCGGGTACCCAAATGCGGTTGGTGCCTGTTTTTACGTAATAAAATCCTTTAGCTTCTGCCAGTTACTGTGAATTTCCGGTCGTGAAAAATGGGTCGGTGCGGTATCCGTGAACAGGCCTGTTAAAAGCGGGTTGGTTTGGGCAAGTAGGTACTGTAGAGATCGGTGGTCTGTCCGTACTGTCACGTCGGCACCAGTCAGGTAACACCGCCAAACCTTGAACGCGTGCACGATCGCCAACATTTCGCGGTCGTGTATCGGGTAGTTGCGTTCGGGCGGGTGCAGATTGCGGGACTCGTACACGATTGGCTGGAGGCTGTTCCCGAAATCCTGCAACGGTACTGCTCTCACAGTGATGTCACTTGCGTCAGTGACGAGCTCGAACGGACGGTGTGGATCTGCGATGTGAAGCACGGGCAGTGAGCACAAAATGTTGCTGAGGACCGAGAAGGCAGCTTGCTCTTTCTCCCCCCACGTATACTCAACCCCCTTCCTCAGCAGGTCTGTCAGCGGGGCAGTCAGCTTCGCCATGTCGGGGACGAACCGGCGCACGTAGTTGACAAACCCCAAAAAACTCTGCAACTCGGTCAAGTTGGTCGGCGCGTGCCATGCTTGAATCGTCGTAATTTTCTTCGGGTCTATTTCCACTCATGCAGCTGAAATAACGTGTCCCAAAAACTCCAGGCGGTCCTGTAAAAACTCACACTTTAACGCTTTTGTCAGTAGGCGGTTCTCACTTAGTATTTTAATAACTGCTTCGATATCCTATAAGTGCTGTGCTCCGTCAGGGCTGTAAATCAGTATGTCGTCCAGGTATACTATGACGCACTTATCTACGAGCGGACGGAACGCTTCGTTCATGGTCATTTGAAAAGTGGCGAGGGCGTTGGTCAGTCCGAAGGGCATGATGGTGTATTCGAAGGTTCCGTAGCGTGTGCGAAATGCGGTCTTAGGGCAGTCGGGCAGATTGTCGCGAATCTGGTGGTAGCCCCCTCGGAG